GCTACTAGTTAGCTACGCAATGGTTTGTTGCTTTGCTCCGGATTGCAGCCACAGGNCCGCCCTTCAGAAACAGAGCTAGAACGTGCAAAGCAATGCAGTGGACACTGAAACATGCACATAAATTGGATAAATAACATAAGCCTTTAGTTTATTTAATAAAAGAGCACATGTTCAATGCAAAAAGTTACCGTAGATAGATTACTTCAGTTGCAATTTGGCATATATAACAAATTAATTTTAAAAAGACGTTCTCTCCTCAGCTCTGTTTCTGAAGGACGGGGATCCCCTCCCGACACACACACAAGAGCACACACTGTCAACCCAAGACAATGGTAGGGGAATCACTGCGTTATAATTCGGAAAAATACCGTGATATTAAATTTGTTCATACCGCACAGCCCTACCGTGTCCTAAAACACTAAAAACTGATATTTTACATGCAATATTTTAACACAAGCTGCCTTATAAATTAATTAATTTAATTACAATTCAAAAACGTCCCATTTAACTACATACTGATATATATGGGCAGATTGTATATTTTCAAACATTGTAAAATAACACGAAAAAAAACACTTCAAAAACATTTCCAATAAATGCTGAGTAAATTATTTGCTAACATAGTTGCAGGCCTTATTTGCATTATTAGTTTGGTAAAGTGTTATTCTATATTTTGTCGTGGTCTGGAAATGCATGAAATTTTATTTCAGAATTTGTGTAGAAACCCTGTATAGTTTGAATGCAGTTAAACTTATTGTGTTTTTCTATATNNNNTTCGGTTCGGACCGAGCACATTTCGCTAGCCACTGCCCCCGAACGTACTTCCCCGTTGGCAATAGATGGAACCGAGCATTCCGTGGATTGTTCCTATCCGAATTGTGGCAATGTTTTGAGGTGTAGTGCCGTGAAAAGGGAGTCGGAGGCGGTGTATTAAGAATGGACTTCCACACTTTATTGTCCATTAAACACTCGGAGGTTAATACATGAACTGCTCTCATTGACAAGCTAGCAAGAATGACTAGCTAACGCTACCGGTGTTTCCCATAAAGGGTCCCTTTAGCAACAACACAAACAAGGTGAATTATGGTCCCCAATATGGTGTCACCACAGAGGCATATTTAAATATAATTGTGAGATGAGAGTAACTACAGTAAACAACATGAACAAAGCACATACGTCAATTTTCCTCGACACCAAACGCATAGTTCACGTCACGTCCGATAAAATAAGTCATGTGACTCGTCAAAATGGCACCGCCCACAGGGTTGATGTTATTTCGGTAATTAATCAGCTTAAAATCACTGATAACGTCATCGGATTCAAAAAAAAAAAAAA